AGCTCTCCCCAGTTTTTAGACTGTTTGCAAGCCACACCCAAGGCTCTGGAAGCCCCGCCTCCCCTAAGGTTACCAACCTCCAGGTGGTACCTGGAGATCTCTTCGTTTTACAACCGATTTCCAGGTTACAGAGATCAGTTCACCTGGAGAAAATGGCCGCTTTGGAAGGTGGACGCTACGGCATTGAAACGCCTCCCCTCCCCCAACCCCGCTGTCCTCAGGCTCCACTCCCAAAATCTCCAGGTGTTCCCCAACTGGAAACTAGCATCCCTACTTCCCACATTACATACATGTAAGCATAGTCAGCTGTGATACCTCAATGGACAGTTAACAGAACAGGCACTCTGTAAATGCTCAGAAGCTCTCCACCAGGCCCAGTTTCTGCCAGAACAAGTGTGTGTGTGAAACGCCATCAAGTTGCTTCCAACTTATGGTGACCCTATGACTTAATGTCCTCCAAAATGTCCTGTCATTAACAGTCATGTGGTTCTTGGGTCTTCCAAACTGAAGGAATCAATCCATCCCATGTTGGGTCTTCCTCTTTGTCTGCTGCCTTCAACTTCTCCAAGCATTGTTGTCTTTCCCAGTGAATCTTGTCTTCTCATGATGTGACCAAAGCAGGGGGTCATTTCGTAGAAAAAGAGCTGCAGGCGCTCATTAGCATAACTTATTAGCATATGCCACACCCCCTGACATCACGGGAAGTATGCACCAGCCCCTCTGACAGGCAGAAGCACCTGGGATCCATTCTTTCCCCCCCTTCCATTCGCCTCCAAGTCAGGCGAAGGAAAAGGGGAGGGGGAGGATCTCAGGCACTTCCGCCTGACAGAGGTGCTGGCGTGCCCACAGCCAGCCTGGGTGAATTATAGAATCATAGACATAGAGTGGGAAGGGACCTCCAGGATCATCTAGTCCAACCCCCTGCACAATGCAGGAAATTCACCAATACCCCCCACACACCCCAGTGACCCCTGTTCCACACCCAGAATATGATAAAAAAAATCCTCCAGGATCACTTGGGGCCAAACTGGCCTGGAGAAAAATTGCTTCCTGGCCCCAAAGTGGCGATCAGCATTTCCCTTGGCATGTAAGAAAGGGCCACAAGAACTAAGCACTGATGCAACCCTTCCTGCTCAACCTCTCATGATTTGCCTAAGTTCACACAATCAGCATTATGATCCTTTTAAAGTTGAAAGCATGATATAAATGCAAAGGACTATTTGTAAGATTATCTGTAAGACACAAGACCAGGACGCATCTCATTTCTGGCAATCACTTGGAGAGACCCTATCACTCAGCTTCCATTGCCCCACACACACCCCACACTGGAATAAGAACATAATATCAGGCCATACCACATTGCAATAAAGCCCCTACAACTGTATACAGAAATACTGAGCTTCCCTACCATTTGCCACAACTAGCCCACCACACAACCAGGATCAAGACTCCTAAGTGGACCAACAGACAGGCATACACTCGTTTGAGAAACTGAGTATTACATTACAACACCTCTGGAACATTACAGATCAGTAGAGGCAGCACTGCACAGTGGTCAGAGTTGCAGATTGATGTGGGGAGACCAAGGTTTGTATTCTCACTCTGCTGGCTGAGTGACCCCGGGCCAAATCTCCCCTTCTCTACCTAACCTACCCCACAGGGCTGTTGTGAGGATGAAATGGAGACTCATGGGCAGGGTCCCCAGCTTCCCTGGCAGGAACACCATGTTAAGAAATCTCTCACAATTATGCAGCCATAGCAGGCAGGAAGGAAGGAGGCGAATACCTCCAGCACCAGAGACTTGTAGAGGAAGAGTCAAACTTTGGAGACTCACCCGTGCACCAGAGGGCCAAGGCAGCAGGAGGCAAGAAGCCTGGGCGAGCTGGGCTCCTCCATGCCTGGCAGAAGATGAGGTGCAGAGCCGAGAGGTGGGCAAGCAGAAGAGGCACTCAGCCAGCCGCACAAGCTGCGTGCAAAGAAACTCCCGCCGCCCCAAGCTTCAGGGCTGCCTCGGTAAAGGAGTGCGGAGGCCAGACTCGCAAATGAGAAAAAGCAAGCTCAGGGTTCATGGGTCGCATTTTGGGCTGTGGAAGAGGAACCAGCTCCATTCCTGGAGTTCTCTCGAGTTCCTGTGCTTTTGGTTTCGCTTTTTGCCAATCCACCTCCCAATATTGCTCCAGGTGCTCCCACCTGAGGGCTACTGGGGGCAGGGTTCTACTTGTGGAGCTGAGGCTCAATGTTTCCAGCTGCTCCACCACCTTTCCTTCCCTTGGTTTGCTTGGGGAGCCCAAGCAAGCCGGCTGCTGGAGGGAAGGAGAGGCGGTTTAAACCACCTTGGGCCTGAAAAAGGGCCAGCCGAATGTCAGTTTTGGCTCCATTATATCCTATGGGCTACTGAAGTCAATGGCGAAAACATAGGGTATATTCTGGGGGCTGGAAAAGAAGGGGTTTGAGGGAGAGGCTCCAAAATCGCAGGGTAGCTGCGGGAGTCTCTCTCCTAGATACCCACCATGTTTCAGGAACATTGAACCAGGGGGTCCAATTCTACGGGGCCCCAAACCGGTTGCCCCCATCCCCTCCATTGTTCTCTATGGTGGGGAAAAAGTTACTTTTTTCCCACCATAGAGAACAATGGAGGGAATAGGGGCAACCTGTTTGGGGGCCTGTAGAATTGGTCCCTCTGGTCCAATGTTCCTCAAACTTGGTTGGTAGCTTGGGGAGAGGCTCCAGCAGCTACCCTGTGAGTTTGAGCCTCTCTCTCAAACTCCCTCCCCTCCAGCCCCCAAAATATACCCTATGTTTTCGCCATTGACTTCAGTAGCCCATAGGATATAATGGAGCCAAAACTGACATTCGGCTGGCCCTTTTTCAGGCCCGGCGTTCTAGCGCGGAGCCTGAAAAAGGAGGGGAGGGTGGGGGGCAGCACTGCAGGCCGAGCAGCACCGCTCGGACATCACACGCAAGAGGTGGAATTTGCCCCTATGAGTCCAAGGCCACCACCCCGGGGCTCAGGGAACCAAGGGAACGTTTCGCCCCTCCCCCTCCCCCACACGCGGGCGTCACAGCGGCAGCACCCATAACTTTTTAATGAGCTCCTGTCGAGAGCTGGGGGAGCCAAGGCCACCACCCCGGGGTGGTTCCTGTTGAGAGCTGGGGGAGCCAGAATGACCTCTCGGGTGTGATGTCCGAGCGGCGCTCGGAATCCACTCCCCAAAGTAGCAACCGATTTCTAGAGGCTGAAAATCAATTATTAATCCAGGAGATCCCTAAGTCCTACCTGAAAGTTAGCAACAAAACTTGGGACGGGGAATATCAAAAAGGAATTGAATATTAGATGAAAAACTATTTTGTTTGTGTATACTGGCCTGAATCTATTAAACTGCTGCTGCTAGTCCTATCTCTGTATTTAGTTCCATTATTTTACTTTTAATTCCTCTTAGTGTTAGGGTATTTTATATTATAACCACCTGGAGAGCTGTACACTAAGAAAGAGGGGATATTTTGTAAATAAATACATGTCCCCAGCTGCAGTTTTTCCTAGGCTGCTCTGCTGCTTGGGTTTTAGCTTATTAATTACTGTTTGGATTTTAATGGGATCTAGGGTTGCCAGGTGTTCCCTGGCCACCAGTGAGGGAGGGGGGTTAGAGTTGCCAGATCTAGGCTGGAAAACTCCTGGAGATTTGGGGATGGAGCCTGGAGAGGACAAGGACCTCAGTGGGGTAGAAAGCCCTGGAGTCCACCCTCCTAAGAATTTTATTTTCTCCAGGTGAACTGATCTCTGTAAGCTGGAGATGAGCTGTAATACTAAAGGATCCCCAGGTCCCACCTGGAGGCTGGCATCACTAACGGGATCAATTTTCTGTGTTTTTATTTCAATGAACTGCTTTGAGAACATTTGTTTTAAGCAGTATGGGAATATAGTAGATAGGATAATAAATTGATACCCCCCTGTTCTAATTGCCCCCAAAAGCTGTATCTAACAAACACCTTCCCCCCGCTGCCTGAAACCTCATGTGTTTTTTTTTCTTTTTAATTTGCTTTTAACGGTTCTTTGTTGGCTCTGATGTTCATGTCGATTTTACAGCTGACCTTGTAGGCACTGCTGTTTTATTTTGTGGTTTTTAAACAGCATTAGCAGCTGCTGCTTTTCATGTTTTTAAAGCTATTGCTGGCGCTATTATTTCGTGTTACTCTTTTACTCCTTTCATGGTTATGTTTTCTAGGCCCCTTTGAGCATTAGCTTAACACAAAAAGGCTCATTTCCCCCCCTCAGAAGCGTTACTAAATTAATGGCAGTAACTAGCCCCCATGCGGAGGAGCATATGCTTGCAACCGTCCCTACTTCAGCTCATTAATTAATTTGCTTAATTGACTAATGAAACAGGTGAGACCATTTCGATCACGCCTCCCTAGCTGTTGCTATAACAACTCCCTGCAAGGCGACGCCATGGCAACACTTCCGTAGGGACGCTTTGCGTCAGATAATCACGTGGTGTCTCGGGGAACTATGGGAAAGTCCCTGGAGCGGCGGACCGGTGTTTTCGCCTTATAATTGGGCCATAGAGATAGAGAAAGTTAAAATGTAGTATGACCTCCGGCTCAAATTATATCGCCACCATATGCGGGGCGTACATTTAAACGGAGATGAGGCCGCTCTACTTCTAAAGTGGTACTTTCCCCTCTGTTTCTTTGCATATGTTGTCCCGGTGCTGCTAGCATAATCAAATGTAGCATATGAAATCTGTGACTTTCATTCTATAAAATAGGGAGAAACTTCTTTTCTAAGTAGAGAACCGTTTCACCCTAGAAACTCCAAGGGACGGGGAAACGGTGGGGCCGTTAAAAATAGGGACTGTCGATTGAACACTCGAAGTTGCAGTTGCTTCGCCACACTCTCTAAGGCCGTTAGCGTCCTGGTGACGTAAATTTTCCGCGCTCTTGAAAAATGGGGCTGCGTACGTCACCGGAGCGACGGAAGTAGGCTGTCAAGGCTCTTGAGTCAACGATGCCCGTGGAAGCGGGCCCTGCGCGCCTGGTGCGCTCCGCTCAAAAAGATGAAGTGTACCGAGGGGCGTTGAAGAGCGGAGCGGGGGCTGCTCTGGGGGGACTAGCTGGTGAGGGAGAGACTTAGGGTTGCCAACTCTAGGTCGGGAAAAACCTGGCGATTTGGGGGTGGAGTCTGGTGTGGGGCCTCAGGAGGATATAGTGCCATAGAGTCCACCCTCGGAAGGTGCCACTTTGTCTAGGGAACTGCTCTGGAGATCTGTTGTAATTCCGGGAGAACTCCAGACTTTGTCTGGAGGATGGCAACCATAAATGAGGTCTGGGTGGGAATACCCAACTAGTGCTACAGCAACCCTGCAAGGTAGACCTGTGTGATAAGCCCAATATGCAGACCAAGGCTGAGAGTTATGTAGGACAGCCCTGCAATGTAGGCCAGCGATGTTGTTCTTTCATTGTAGGTAGGAGTGGTGGGCTCTTGCTATTGAGAAAGTGGCTTGACTAAGCCAGTGTTGCAGTATTAGACTCATCACCACACTGCTGCAAAGTTTGCTGGGTGATTATGGACCAGTTACTTTCTCTGTAAGCCAAACCTAAATCACAGGATTGTTGTGAAGAAAAAATGGAAGAGAGGAGACTGAGCTCTTTTGTGGAAGAACAGGGTAAAAACATACTAAGTAATAGTCTGTGGCAGAGGTGAGATTCCAACCCAGAAAGTCCTAATTTGTAGCTCAGCTTTAACATTACTTCAGCACCTTTTAAAACATTTTTTTTCTACAAAGAAAGCACTCAGAAGTCATACACACACTCTGTCACTCAGCCTCATCTCCTATACAAGGTTGTGGTGAGCTTAAAATGCATAAGGGAAAACCAATTATGCCACTCTGAGGTCATTGGACGAAGGGATAAAATATCTATTTGATAAGATATTTTAAAAAATCAACATAGGCCCCGGTCACACAGGCAAGATATCGCGGGGGGGGGGGGCTAATTGCCCTGGCGCAGTTGGTGCGCGATTACGCGATCAGATGCGCCGGCGGCACACCACGGGTCCTTCCCTCGGCGCCGGCGGGTAAACAAGGGACCGGAGGAAAATGCCGTGCGCCGGCGTGATCACACCACGGGCATCTGGAGGCAGTCCGTGGCAAACGTTTACTAGTACCTTGAAGGTACTAGTTTTTTAAGGCGCATCGTTGGCAGTAAGCCATGGGTGCGCTCCACTTCCCAGATGCTGGGGTGTGATCGCGCCCAGATAATCCGCCCAGCATCCGTGCCTCTCTCGCGGCAACTTTGCTCTGTGAACGGGGCCATAGACTAAAATGCAAAAAAAAGTTTTCCCCTTTAAGAATAGTATAAGAAAAACAGCAAGTAAAATCCCTTATGAGAAACTGAAGTCCATTGGTGTAGCCCTGTTAGCCTGCCGTAATCAAAACAGCAAAGAGTCTTAAAGACTAACGCTTGTGTCACGACACATTCTTATGTAAGCCAGAATTAATTTTGCCAGATACACAAAGGAAAATTAATGCACTACAGAGCATGATCCATGCATGACGTTCTTTCCTAAAGCATCGTTTCAGAGAGTAGCCGTGTTGGTCTGCAGTTGAACAGCTAGATTCGAGCTCAGTAGCACATTAGAGACCAATGAGATTTTCGAGGTAGAAGCTTTCAAGAGTCAAAGCTCTCTATCAGAGAAAGTTAGGTTTGCCTCTCAAAAATTTATACCCTGAAAATCTTATTGGTCTCCAAGGGTTACTGGACTTGAATCTAGCAGTTCTTTCCTTAAAAGTCCAGAGGGGATATCTGTGGGTCTGTTACAGCAAAAATAAAGAGCACCTTAACGTCTGGCAGTGGTTCTAGTATAAGCTTTTGTGAACTAGACCCCATTTCCCCAGATACAGTTGCCAGATATAAGCCCACAAAAACTAGAATAAAAAGTAAGATGCCATAAGATTCCTCTCTAGTTTCGCTAAAATGCCTACTATCAGAATGAGAAAACCACACATTTTAAGTACTGTTCTGCCCTTTGTTCCTCTTAAAAATTATTTTCCTCCATGGGGAAGATACTCTGCATATTTTCGGAGGCATAGACTCCAATAAATAACAATGAGTAAATAATGCTAGTTTATTCTGGTTGTCTAGGTGCTAAAACCTGGCTGGAATGGCAGAAGGAAATCGAGCTGCTGGCCGATGTGAGCTATTTCACCCTGACTACACTTTCAGGTAATCTTGTCATTGGCCAATACCAGTAGTTAAGGCGTCTGGTAAATCTTCCCGAGTTTGTTGAGGAATCACCTCTGTAGGCTTTCCATCTGTGTTTTCTTCCAGGTTACCAAACCCTTGGAGAAGAATACGTCAACATTATTCAAGTAGACCCATCTGGGAAAAGAATCCCTTCTTTATTTCGACGGGCCGTCCTGATCTCGCTGCACACCATCTTGCCTTACTTGTTAGACAAGGGCTTGGTCCACCTGGAACATGAACTTCAGACAGAACCCGATGGGACACCGGCTGTGCAAATACCCTCCCCCTCTAGACTGCGAGGCAGGACTTTCGTGCGGAGCTGGTTGCGAAACCAGCTGGGCGGCTTGACCGAGCAGCAGAGGAAACTGCTTTCTTGGGCGGTCTACCTCCTGAGGCACGGCATCCCTCTTCTCCGTCGGCTGCACCTGGCCATCTTCTACCTGAACAGCGTCTTCTACCACATGTCTAAAAGGATAGCGGGGATCACGTATGTAAGTATCTGCCAGTTGAGCCTAGGGGTGCTGCTGTATTCTGTGTCCCGTTTGGGATTCAACGGCCATGTTGTGTTTAAGTCTCTGTGTCTTCCTGTGCAAACAATTTAAACATTTACTGTCCCAAAGGTAAGGGGTTGGAAACACTGTGTTAAAATACATTAGGAATTTTTTTTCTAGGGTCCTTGTGAGGCGAAGTATAATTCTTGTCTCCTCTCAAGGGTTAATGTGCAAGTCAGGGGCCTGGCCTCCTCTTGCAGGTGTCGTTAATTAAAGGCTTTGGCCTACCTGGCACCATATCAGCTCAAGGTCAGGGGAGAGAGCTTCTCAGAAGAATGTGTTGGGAGGGGGAGATCAGGAGCAATGATGTAAGATTCTGGAGAATTCTCTTCAAGGCATATTGGGATTGGATGTTACCATCACCTGACTTGAGGGGTCAGAAATTGTAACTGTAATATTCTCCAGAGGGCAGGGGTTCCTCTCTGAGTGTGGGTGAAAGACCTGAGTCTATGCTTCGCAAAGCGCTGGAACCAGAGGGCAGGGGTTCCTCTCTGAGATTTGTGGGTGAAAGACCCGAGTATGCTTCGCAAAGCGCTGGAATCGTCATCTATGCTCATTTGAGGCGTGCTCTTGGATGTAAGTTTTGCACCGCTTGAGCAACCTCTGAAAGTGTTAGGTAGTATAAGGTAGCTTTATTGTTTTGGGTTCTGTGTGACTTTTGATAATCTGTTGGTTTATAATCTTATTTACTTGCCTATTCTCTCAATAAATTACAGAAATATATATTCTAAAATAGCATCGCCCTGGTTACTTGTGTGCTCATGCCCTGGGGACTCACAAGGTCAGCCTGTGCAGTTCCTTGACAGTCCTGGATTCCACTTGGTGGGGAGTCGCTTTGGCTGAGTGGAAGAGCCTCTGATTTCTCGCCTTGCTTCTCTCAGGGTCGAGTGGACTCCTTGTCCGTCGCTTCCATTTCTCCTCCGCCTCAACTGCTCCCCCACCCCCGCCAGGTCATGGATCCTGCACCGTCTGGGGGCTTAAGGGAAATGAATCCGTGAAGCTGCCGTGTCCTGAATCAGACCTTGGGTCCATCAAGGTCAATATTGTCTACTCCAGGAGCCCCCAACCGTTTTGAACCTGCTGTAGCTTACCTTCGCCAGGAGCCCCCAACCGTTTTGAACCTGCTAGCGTGTTTGGAACTCTGACACAAGATGGTGTGCACAGCCACAAAACGACTGCTGTAGCTTACCTTCAGGCAGGCAGTGAAGACCCTTGTGCTGTGGTGGCAGCTGTTGCCAAAGCAACGCTTTCAAAGATCTGCCCAGCCAATCAAATCTCTAATGGCCAGTAAGAAGCCCTGCTGAGCAAAAGCCCCACCTGGCCCCTCCCATTTTGTCAGGTGCCTGGAAAGGTGTTGGTGGGCACCATGGCACAATGGGCAACACGTTGGGAACCCCTGATCGACTCTTCATTCTTTATTCATATTTGCTGCTAACCTGAAGTGGCTCTAAACCAGGTGGTGTTTGGGAGAGCCAGTTTGGTGTAGTGGTTAAGAGCGGCAGACCCTAATCTGGAGAACCGGGTTTGATCCCCCACATGCAACCAGCTGGGTGACCTTGGGTCAGTCACAGTTCTCGGAGAGCTGTTCTCTCAAGAGCAGTCCTCTAAGGCGCTCTCTCAGCCCCACCTACCTCCCAGAGTGTCTGTTGTGGGGAGGGGAAGGGAAAGGAGATGGTAAGCCCCTCCTAGACTCCCGAGTGAAGGGCAGGGTATAAATCCAATCTCTTCTTCTCCCCCCCCCCCATTCCAGCTGCGCTTTGCAGGATGGGCAGGAGATGACCAGAACATTCGATCAAATTACAGACTCCTTGGGATCATTTCTCTTCTGCATCTGGTGCTGACCATCGGTACCCAAGCCTACAGCTTCCAGCAGAGACAAAGGGCGAGACAGGAATGGAAACTACACCGTAACCTTTCCTATCAGAAGTACGTTGTTTGGAGCATCTTGAGAAATGTGAAATGGCACCTTTTTAGGCAATCCTTGAAAGGTGGAAGCCCAGGCACTGTTGACACAACAGAGGGTCACAAGCCTGTTAACCAGTACCTATGCTCAAGGCTATTTTTGGGCAGGAACGGAGTTCCGGCTGGCTCTGGAGTTGGCCACACCCAGCAGGAACTCATTAGCATAATAGGCCACACCCAACAGCAGAAACCCATTAGGACTGGCTACATTAGGGGTGTGTGGCCTAACATGCAAAGGAGTTCCTGCTACAAAAAAAGCCCAGGGTTTAACAGCAAACAAGGTAAACAGAATAAGAAGCAAAAGGTGGGTGTGGCTGGATGACCACACTTCTGGCATCATGGGGGTGTGGCCTGATATGCTAATGAGATGTGTTGTCAGGGGTGTGGCCTAATATGCTAATGAGTTTATACTGTTGGGTGTGGTCTATTATGCTAATGAGTTCCTGCTGGGCTTTTTCTACCAAAAAAAGCCCTGCCTATGCTGACCTGGGTGGCCCAAGTTACTCCAGTCTCGTCAGAACTTGGAAGCTAAGCAAGGTTGGCCCTTGTTATTACCTGGATGAGAGACCATAAAGGAAGTCCGGGGCTGCTACCTAGAGGGGCCCCCAAAAGCCCCACCGTAGGTACCGGCCTGATCACCCCCATCCCCAGTGTAGGTGATAGATTGTTTTAATGACCGATTCCTGCATAGATGAAGAACCATCATCATTTGGTATGCAGAAATCCACAACTTTTAGTCCAGTCCGATCCACTCTGAGTCGCAGTAAATTTAACCTCGTCTGGTTTCTCACAGAATCCCGCCCGAAGAGAAACTTCTGGCCCGCAGTTCCCGCTGCACTCTGTGCTTAGAAGAGCGGCGCCACACCACCGCCACGCCATGTGGCCACCTCTTCTGCTGGGAATGCATCACGGAGTGGTGCAACACTAAGGTGAGTGGGGGCGATTCCTGGCCAGCCGCACTCCAGTGCGCACGCAGCCCTGTTTGCGTGTAACTCCAGACACGGGAACATCCTTTGCAGAGTCTTTACCAGTTTGGTGTAGTGGTTAAGTGCGCGGACTCTAATCTGGGAGAACCGGGTTTGATTCCCCACTCCTCCACTTGCACCTGCTGATGTGACCTTGGGTCAGTCACAAGCTTCGACACAGCTGTTTATTTATTTATTTATTTATTATATTTGTACCCCGCCCATCCCACAAGCAGGCTCCTGAAAGAGCAGTTTGTGTCAGAGTTCTCTCAGCCCCACCCATCTCACAGGGTGTCTGTTGTGGGGAGGGGAAGGGAAAGGAGTTTGTAAGTCGCTCTGAGACTCCAAGTGAAGGGTGGGGTATAAATCCAATCTCTTCTCTCTCTTCTTCTTTTCTTACCTGGTGCTCTGCCATTTTCTTGCAGCTCAGTTACCATCTCCTAACCCTCAGCGGTGGCTGAACACACTCATCATGCAAGAATGAAAAGCAGGCTTGGGCTTTCTGGGGAGGGGCGGGGAATGTTCCATGGCCCTCCTGAGATGGTGCCATTTCAAACTGGGGGGGGGGGGGGGGATTAGCACAACTGAACAGCTAGAGTTCCATCTGCAGGGAATTCTTAGCCTAAGTATTCAAAGATGAGATGCAGCCCTGATATTTTTTCTGCAGTATTTTAATGCACCGGCCGAACAGACTTTGAATCCTCGGACAATCAAGTCATGTTTTTATCCCACCCTTCCTGTAAGAAGCCCAGAGTTGATGTGATTTTTTGATTCTTTTATAACCCGCCTTCCTTCCCAAGGGGGACCCAAAATGGCTTACATCCTCCATTTTATCATCACAACAGCCCTGTGAGGTAGGTCAGGCTGAGTGTGCGTACCTGGTTCAAGGACATCCGGCACCTTGGCAGAGTCTGGACTCGAACCTGGGTCTCCCAATTCCTAGTCTGACACTAACTATTACACCTATGGTTGCCAGATCCAGGGCAGGAAGGTAAACTCCTGGAGATTTCGGGATGGAGCGCAGGGAGGACAGAGACCTCAGTGGGATACAATGCCATAGAGTCCACCCTCCAAACCATCCATTTTCTGCAGGGGAACTGATCTCTGTAGTCTAGAGCTGTGATTTTGGGGGGGATCCCCAGGTCCCACCTGGAGGTTGACATCCCTAAAATGTATACCCCATTGGTGGTATACATCTGTCTTCCTCTTTTTATCCTTGCAACTACCCTGTGAGCCGTAGTCTGAATGGTGTGTGACTAGTCCAATGTCACCCACTGCAAAATTTGTTAACCATCAAAGGAATCACAGCCACAATTGGTTTCATCCCTTCCCTTCCTTGCCAGTTTGGTAGAAGATAATCTCTTCGTTCTGTAGTTCTTCTAGCTAGAGCTGAAAGTGTTCTACACGAAGTCAGACCAATGGTCTATTAAGGTCACTATGGCTGTCTACTCCAGGGGTCCCCAACCTTTTTGAGCCTGTGGGCACCTTTGAAATTCTGAGGTGGTGGGTGCAGCCACAGGAGGGCTGCCACAGCTTGCCTTCAGTCATCCAGTGAAGATCCTTGTGCCGTCGTGGCAGCTGCTGCCAAGGCCCTGTTTTTAAAAATCTACACAGCCAATCAAACCTCCAGTGGCCAGTCAGAAGCCTTGCTGGGCAAAAAGCCCTATCCAGCCCCACCCACTTTCTGAAAACACTTGGTGGGTGCCCACGGGCACCGTGTTGAAGACCCCATTCTACTCTGACTGGCAGTAGCTGTCCAGGGTCTCAGGGAGGCCCCGAGTCTGCCAGCAAAAGTGCCTTTCTTTTTAGTGGAACATGGGAGTTCGGATCTATCCTCTGGCTGTACCCTTTTGCTGCCAAGAATTCGACACTGTCAGTTGAGGAACCGCCAGCAAAGAGGCGAGATGTAACTTGCAACTTCAATAGTATCTTAACTAAGCCCCGAGGAGCATTTCTGAGTCTTCAGAGCAAACGCAGACGTTTCCCCCAGCAGGCATGTTTGTTTAATTCTGCATTGTACATGCCTCAGAGGCATGCAGTCTGTACTCTACCAGAGTGAATCATTCCGATAAAAGTTTCTCATGGTCACCAAACAGGAAAACACAGGCTCTGGTTCAGGCCTCCCTGCTCAAAAGAGTCTTCAGATGGAGATGTATGCTTGCGTCTCAGAAGTTGTGCTTCCTTTGGGGGGGGGGGGAGATGTTTGTATGGTAGGGTTGCCAGTTCTGGCTTGAAAAATACCTGGAGATTTGGGGGAGGACAGGGTTTGGGGAGGGGTGGGACCTCAGCAGGGTATAATGCCATAGACTCCACCCTCCAAAGCAGCCATTTTCTCCAGGGGAAGTGATCTCGGTCGTCGGGAGATCTCCAGGTGCCACTTGGTGTTCAGCAGCCCTAGCGTATGGCCATCTACCGTCACACACTTCCCCGAGGGGAGGGGTAATCAAAGACCACAGGAGTGGGAACCGTAACTGAATGTCGTGCTGCTGTTTAGAAGACTTATACGCTGCCTTTTGGCTTGAACAGAGCATTGAAAAACATCTCTGAAAATCTGTCCCTGTATGAGTTGGCCTGAACTTCTCAGCTCTGAACAGTGGACGCTTTAAGTAAAGGTGAAGGCTTCCCTTGCTCGAAAGCCAGCTGAATCCGACTAGGGGGTGGTGCTCATCTCCATTTCCAAGCCGAAGAGCCAGCACTGTCCAAAGACTTTTTCCGTGATCGTGTGGCCGGCGAAGAGCCATGCTGAGGCGCACGGAACGCTGTTACCTTCCCACCAAAGCGGTACCTATTTATTTACTTGCAATTTCTTGCTTTCGAACTGCTAGGTTGGCAGGAGCTGGAACCAGAGACGGGAGCTCACTCCGTCATGCCACACTTGGGTCTCAAACGGCTGAACTATCAACCTTCCGGTCTGCAGCTCAGCGTCTTAAGCTCTGAGCCACCACGGCCCTTTACCTCCAATCAAATAGCGAAGGAGGTAGCAAGATGCTGCTGGGCTGGACGCAAAGTCGTCACGGGTTTACTTTTCCTGGGGAGGAAAATCTTGTCCTATAAAACTACATATCGGGGGGGGGGGGGGGGAGTGTTCTAGCTCTGCTAAATGCTAGTTCGGTAGGTAGCTGGAGGTTGTCTCGCAGGGGAGCATCTACAGGCGACTACACCTGCTGGGCCGACCGTTTCCTAAAAATTTAAATCTGTTTGCTGCATTGGATGTGGGGGGAATAATCCCTTCGACCACCGGTGGACAACGTTTAGGACCGTTTGCCTCTGACGTTAATTTTACTTCTCCCGTAGGCTGAGTGCCCGCTCTGCAGAGAGAAATTCCAGCCACAGAAGCTGATCTATCTGCGCCACTATCGATAACGGCCGGCTGGCTGTCAGGCTGCAGAGCATCGGGAGCCAACAAAACCGCTACAGCTTTTGACCAAGTGCAAGACTTTATTATTATTAAATTGTGAAAACTAAGCTGTCAAAACACTTGAGTTTCATGGCCTACGCAGCTGTCAAGTTACAAATAAAGTCCTTTTGTATGTTTGGGGAGGGGTTTTTCCTTTGCCTGAAACAAATTGAGGAGCATTCTAAGCTGTTCCCGGCGTCTTCTAACCCCACCGATTATGTTTTATCTTTCCGAGCCTCTGATGCAGCGTAAGAGACCAGGACTCTTCGCTATTCATAGCAACGTTCTAGCATCTAGGGGGGTTTACGGACTCACCCTAGACTTTTGACTCAGTGGACGTTTCCCCCAGCCTGTGTTGTTTTCATAACCACAAATGCTTTTAATGTTTCAGGAATTCAGATCTGGATAATCTCGAGCTGCTTAAAGAGCGGAACATCTTAGTTTTGATGCAGGCAGACGTAGGAAAGGTGGCAAAGGCAACAGCCGGCTTGCGTAAGGAAAGCAAGCAGACTCTCACCAGCCTGACTTTTTCTGCATCGTCCATTCAGTCCTCCAGTACCCCAATGCCAGATCATTCAAAGGGAAGTGATTCAACTCATTACAGGCTACAGAAAACCTCTCGCCTTTCTACCTCTTTCCTTGTTAACATCACAAACTGAAGTCCCCACTGCAAACATTCTCATACCATCCACAAATCTGGTTTTTGGCTAATTTTGTAACACAGGACAGTACGCTTAAGGTCTTGACTGCAGACACCTCAGGGTAACTAAGCTCCATTGGTCTTGCTTTGAAGAACGAGATGTTTAACTGGGAGGTACTTCCTTAGTCTAGTCTGCTGTATACCATTTTGGAGTTCAGGGTTTTGTTTTTGAAAAAGTTTCCAGAACACTTGTTAGAACTCACCAGACAAAAATACCCTTTAATTTTTCAATAATGCTGAAAAGGAGTGGGGGAATCTAACTTTTATGGCACTGGAATTTCAGGTTTATCACCACTCTGCCAAATACAGAGAAACATTTTTTGAAAGCTGTCTGTAGCAAGCAGCTTCCATTACTTCCAGAGTTATCTTCATACAGTAGTGCAAAGGATTTTAACAGATATCGCTCAAATACATTATTCTACAAGATCTGAGAAAAGAGGGGAGGGATAATATTAACACTTCGCTCCTTCAAGTTGGTTTTATGAAGACTCCTGGACCCAAAAGAGGGGACACAGTCTTTTTAATAAAGTTTGGAATTTAAAAAGTCACTTAATAAAATCTGCCAATCGCTGTATCACATTAAAAAAAAAAAGTTTTACATGCAGGTAATTTGTTTTATTTTCCCATAGAAAATTAAATGCTGTGTTAAAACCCACAAAATCCTGTCTGCCGTGGCCAAGTCTTTGCTGTATCTTGGAGGGCAGCTACATGAAGCAAACTTAAGTTAATAAAAAAAAATCTTTTTAAGTATCAAAGAAATGTCAAAATTCTTCTCCACCTAATAATTATATATATATATGTATATATTTATAATTCCAGGCCTTCCACACACACACACAAAAAAAACTTTAGAAGAAGAGAGAGCCTGAAGACATGTCAACATCAGCCTCTCCCAAGAAGCAACGAGGGGGAAAGAGGGAGGGAAACTGGCATTTAAATCCAAACAGTTCTGTTCATCATAAAAGCTATGCCCCTTCGGCCATTTGGGCGGGGAACTGAGAATGCAAAAAAGAGGCTTACTTTAGATCCTTTCCGTCCAAGTAATATGAGAGAGGGACCTACAGGACCTGGGATGTAACGGCAGAGCCTGCTGTCATGGCTGTGTCACATCACTTCAACACTGCAAGCTGAGTAAGAGGGCGACACAGCACCCCTTTCCCAACCCTACGGCAGACTGTGCTACAGGCCCTGAAATGACACACAGCTCCTCAGGTTATTCTGCCTCCCCCAATACATGCACAAACAGAACACTCTTGCGATCAGCACGGGTGGCTCCCTTATTCGTGAATTGCCAACCGGATCCTGCAGCTCGCCAGGTAACATCGCAGCCGGCCTATGAAACGTTTGCGCGTGTACAATGATACGAGAGACTTGGCGTCTGCAAAAAGTAGCAAAAAACAGCCCTTGGACATATGGAATATCAATCTGTTGCCCCAAAAATCCCCCGCCTCCCTGCCCCAGAAACACAAATTGTGGTTAAAATGCCAGTATTTCTACTGCAATACTTCTGATTTAAAAGGGGAGGGGGACCCTGACCCTTAACAAATTGAAAGAACGCAGCTTCCTAGCCGCTTTCCGCTTGCTGGACTTTGGATGGAAGGAAAAAGAGGCATTGTTACAAAATGGCTCAAAACCGGTCTTTTAATTATAATGCAGGGTGTTGGTCAGCAGGCTCTGTTTGATTTCTAGCTAGCGAAGGTCTTCCCCATGTCTTCCTTCCCTTTGTATTTCCTCTTGCCGTGTGTGAACGGTATATATCGGTATTTTATCATATGCTGGAATGGAAGGGAAAAATGCAAGTGTTCAGGGTACAACCACAACACATATGCCTACCCTGTGCCCCCCACCCCACCATACAACGTTAATTTACTAAACAAATCCCCAAAGCATCCTGCATTTTTCTGGGGAAGGAAAAGGCATGCTTGTAACTTCCAAGACTGGCAGTCCTTTTGCCATTCTATTCTGACCACTCTTTTCCGGGAAAATGTCTTCCTTCCCTTTGTATTTCCTCTTGCCATGTGTGAACGGTATATATCGGTATTTTATCATATGCTTGATTTGCCTCTTCATGGTGATGCAGAAAAGCATGATGAAGTACATCACGAGAATGGGCCAAAAAACTGGAACGTTGAAAGCCTCAAAGAATGTACACGTCATTGCGACAAGGATACCTTTAGTAGCCGAATGCCTGCAAAGGAAAGGGAGCCGGTTAATTCCCTCCACTACTTCTGCGCTGAAGTCCCGTCTGCTTAAGCTCAGTTCAGAGGTCACGTTTCCCAGTCTGCAGCGTGCTCCCTCCCCGTCCATTCCAACATGCAGGTATCCTCTCTGTTTTTCGTCTAACCGCAATCATAACGTCCGAATCAGCAAACCGTGCCCGGGGCTCATCTAAACATGGTTTACAAACTCGTTCCCAACTGTGGTTTGGAAGGAAGGTGCGAACTGTAGTTAGTCAATCTGAATGTCACAGCAAACTCTGGTTACAAAGGGGGGAAAAGTCAAGGAGGAACCCGTGTGTGGGAAAGGGAGTCAAGAAGCCCACAGTGCATTCCTGTATTGCAGGGACTCAAGTGGGTGGCTGGGGAACTGCTATACTCCCAAACATAAAAGGGAAGGAGGAGACATGAGTTTAGGATGAAAATGGCAGCTCACTAACATGAGAGGAGCGCTGAGTAGGATGAGGGGGAGGGATAGAAAAGGAGGCTGAATACTTTAAATCTGTCTCATTTTAATTCCTGTTTCTGCTGGAGCATTTTTAGCTGACTGACCAGAAGTGATTGTAGCTAGCAGGGATGGTCGTAGAAGAGGCATTCTCCCTTTTCGCACATACTGGAGGGAATACCTCTTCTAAGGGTGCCGGCAGTAAAATATGCATAACATCCATTAAGAACACATATGCCTCTTTATTTTAGTACTGCCGCTTTAAATACAAGTCAATCTGCACAGATATCACTGCTTCATCAACCAAGATCTCTTTCGCTGAATGCTATCCACAGAATTTACTGTTGCCCACTCCACTCCAAGAGCCTCTAAAAAGGGGCTAGTTACAATAAGATCCAAACAAACTCACCAGAATTTGAACTCTGGCAGCCTTCGAATGAAGGGCCGGAACTCCTCATTTTGTTTTGTGGGTAATGAAGGACCATCATCTAAGGAGAGCAGGAAATTCAAGGTTTTAAAGGAGAACCTTCATGGATTGTTTTAGCTATTTCTGCTACTTTCAGAGTGGGGATAAATCGATAGCGGTCAATGAATGGCCCACTGGGGGACACAAAGAAACCCCGAAATCAACATAAGCTGGTTAAAGGTCTGATTATTATGTGGAAGGCAAACTGGGACACAGGTCTTCAAAAAGTCCACAGGATAAACACAACGCAGAGTACAAATACACCACTCTCCGTAATAAATAATCAAGAAGCTGCTGATAACCCACCATAAAATTCAAGCAAAAGCCACGGCCCAACGCTCTTAGTACCAACTGAGTTCAATGCAGTTTAAGCACGCGTAACTGTGCTCTGGGCCAGCGGTCATCAACCTTTGCAGAGCTGGAACTGCAAGCATGTGACACCGCAGTCACATGACAGGAAATGGGACACCAGCGGGGTCACGGGACCGTGGGCTGCAGAGCAAAGGTGCCGAAGACGGCAAGTGCAAGTCAGGCACCGGGAAGGGTACCATGGCAAGGAACGAGTCAAGGGTCAGAGTCACGAAGGAAACCTCCTCTGCTGCTGAGTGACTGCTTGGCTGTCCTACTGCTGTTTTCAGCATGCATGCAAGGGGAAGCCCATGCTCTCTGAGTGTGCATACTAGCAGTAGTTACCCCACCCCCTCCCAAAAAAGCAAAAGAAAATGGAGATTGCATAAGGATTCACGGGCCAGCATGCAGAGCTCCAGAAACCAGAGGCTGAAGACCAACACCCTCGGTCACCTTGATGATACCTTCTCTTATTCTGTGTACAATGAGTGCATGTGACACAACCAACAAGTAACACAGCAGCCATCCTGCCAGGACCCATCTCCCGTTGCCAACTGCGGAGGCCATTGCGGGGAGGAGAGCCAGACGGCAGGGGGCACCTTTCCATCAGATCTTGCCAAGAAACCCCCCCCCCCCCAATCCCAAGCTGCATTCCACAACTGGTGATTGGATTGGCTCCCCAATGTCATTAGTCACTTTGAGAGGACTTTGTTGGCTAAAAAGCGAGATAAAAATCACAGCAGACTGCAGAAGATTCCAGCAGAGCTGCCGTGGTTCTCCGTACCTGAGTCCTCCATTAGAGAGGGATCTACCTTTGGCGACAAAAAAGCTATGAAAAGATTTAGGTGGTAGATTCCCAAGGCATACGTCACGATGTACCAACCCTGGGAAGGAGAAAGAGAAAAACGAAATTACACATGTCCAATAAGCACACAGCGTGTGAAGCACAGGAAGAACCTATAATATGCCCATCTGTCTGAGGATACAAACAGCAGCTTGATTGTAGAATTCAAGCACCCTTGCCTCAGAGAGGCTGTGGCTCAGCTGGTAGAACATCTGCTTAGTGTGTGGAAGGTCCCGGGTTCAATCCCTGGCATCTCCAATTTTAAAAAATCTGGCCGTACGTGATGTAGAAGACCTCTGCCTGAGACCCTGGAGAGCTGCTCCCAGTCTGAGTAGATAACACTGACTCCGATGGACCAAGGGTCTGAATCAGAATAAGGCAGCAGCATCCGTTCATGCTGCATCGCTTTTAAGCTAACACCAAGGCCCCTCTTGCATTTTAATCTGCTAGGACCCTAAGCCTTCAATGCCAGCTCGCTCTTGCATTTTAATCTGCCAGCTCTTGCATTTTAATCTGCTAGGACCCTAAGCCTTCAATGCCAGCTCGCTAACAAGTAAGTCCCGCTGAACTCGACTGGCTTTACTTCTGAAGGTACACGTTCAGGACTGTATTGTTAATGGGATCCCACCGTAAACCAATACAGGGGGTAACTCAACCTTGGCTATTTGAAATAGAAATCGAGGTAGAATTGACATTCGGCTTTACTTCTGAAGGTACACGTTCAGGATTGTATTGTTAATGGGATCCCACCATAAACCATGCAGGGGGTAACTCGACCTTGGCTATTTGAAATAGAAATCAAGGTAGAATTGACATTTCATGAGTGATATACCAGTACCAAAACACTGCAGGCCAAGAAGGGAAGGATATGGGGAAGGGAAGGAGAGATTGGATTTATACCCCGCCCTTCACTCCCCAAGGGAGTCTCAGAGCGGCTTACAAACTCCTTCCCCTTCCCCTCCCCACAACAGACATT